GTAAAATGGTTCCAACATTCCAAACTCTCAAAGTGTTTTCCTTACAACGTGAGACATTAACAAAAGGTGTTCCCACAATCCTTACATTGATAAAAATTCTTTTCCATTTTAATGGAGTTTTTAATGGCATCAAAAGGTACTATAAGACTTAAAGGGGCTGGGCTTAGTGACTCAGTCTGTAATCCCAGCACTTTGGGAGGCTGAGCCGAGTGGATTGCCTGAGCCCACGGGTTGGACATCAGCCTGGGCAACTTGGCGAGATATCGTCTCTACAATAAATCGAAAAATTAGCCAGGTGTGATAGGGTGCGCCTGTAGTTCTGGCTACTTGGAAGGCTGAGGCGAAAGGATGGCTGCAGCCCAGCAGGTCGACGCTGGTGTGGCCGTGAGTGTGCCACTGCACTCCAGTCTGAGCAATAGAGTGAGACTCTAACTCAAAAAAAAAAAAAAAAAAAAAAAAAAAAAGACTTAAAGGATTTATCATACTCCTTATATTCGTAGGGTTCTCTACAGTTGAGTTCATGTACTTGAAATGAATTGGAATAATTGAAGGTTTTCTCACAGTTTACATTTGATTTGTAGGAATTTTTTTTTTTTTGAGTTGGAGTCTCACTCTCCTCAGGCTGGAGTGCAGTGGCATGCACAGCCACCCCAGCATCGAACTTCTGGGCTCCAGCGATCCTTCTGCCTCAGCCTTCCAAGTAGCTGGAACTAGAGTCGCGGACTACCATGCCCAGTCATTTTTTATTGTAGAGATGAGGCCTCGCCAAGTTGCCTGGGTTGGTCTTGAATCCACGGGCTCAGGCAATCCACTTGCCTCGGCCTCCCAAAGTGCTGGGATTACAGGCTGAGACACTAAGCCTGGCCAGGAATTTTTTTCAGTATGAGTTTTTTTGTGAATATTAAGGAGGAAGGAATGTATAAATCCTTTCCCATATTTCTTACAGCCAAAAGGTATCTCTCCAGAGTGAATTCTCATATATTCATTAAAGTTTGAGAAACTAGTGAAGGCTTTCCACATTTCCTACATTCATAGGGCTCTGTAGAGTTCATACATGATCAAGGTATTTTTTTAAAACTTTACAGATTTTTGGTTCTCAATTCCCATGTATGAAACATGGAATTTGTTGCTCACTCCCAGGAAGAAGTAACAAGAATAATCTGAAAAAAAATCAATGACTTCCTAAATGCATAAGAAAAAGGTCATACAACTACTGTTTTCAAAATTGGAGAGACAGGCAGATAGAGAATCATGCCATACTGGAGCAGAAACTACCTAGAAACTACCTTGCCAGGGTAAGAAACTTGTAATTAAAGAAGTTGAAGGCTAGGGGTGGACAATTCTGGGAGTTAAAAAGTCCAATCATAGCCGGGCTCGGTGGCTCAGCCTGTAATCCCGCGCCTTTGGGAGGCTGAGGTGAGTGGATTGCCTGAGCCCGCGGGTTCGAGACCCGCCTGGGCAGCGAGACCTCATCTCTACAATAAATCAAAAAATCAGCCGGGCGTGGTAGCGCATGCCTGTAATTCCAGCTACTTGGAAGGCTGAGGTGGAAGGATCGCCGGAGCCCAGCAGGCGAGATTGTGGTGGCCGGGAGCGGCCACTGCACTCCAGTCTGGGCGACAGAGTGAGACTCCAACTCAAAAAAAAAAAAAAAAAAAAAAAAAAAAAAAAGTCCAATCATAAGGGGTTTCCCCACATTGTTTTACCTTCAGGAGCTAGAATAAGTTCCCACAGTAAATATCAGAAAAATATTCCCACATGCTTCCAGGAGAAGCGGGAAGGGAACCATTATAAAACACACCAGAGCCAGGCATAGTGGCTCATGCCTGTATTCTCAGTACATTGGAAAGCCAAAGTAGGAGGACTGCTTGAGCCCAGGAGTTTGAGACCTGCCTGGGTAACAAACAATAGCAAGATCTCATCTAAAAAAAAAAAAAATTAGCCAGACCTCTAGTCCCAGCTATTCAGGAGGCTGAGGCAGAAGGATCTCCTGAGCCTAGGCCAAGGCTGCAGTGAGCCATGATTGTCTCACTGCACTTCAGTCTGGATGACAGAGTGAGATCTCCAATTCAAAAACATACAAACAAAAGCCCGCAAAACAGAGTGCTATATTTTTCTTTAAAAAATCTGCAGTCAGGAGAAACTAGTTCAGAGTCGAACCTACTGTGATTTTATCAGGGGCTCGATGATCAGGAGGAAGGGAAATATTCAACTCCACCTAGCTCTAGCTATCGTGACCCAGCTAAAGGAGGTTAAAAAAAAAAAAAACAACTGTGACATTCAGAGTCTAAGGCATAGAATCACTATAAAATACTGACATCTAAGCAATGGAACAGAATGCTTCCCCTTTCCCCACAACTTACATTACTAAAGGGCCATTTACAGCAGTTCCTCTTAGCCAGTATGTCATGTCCAGCTATCAAGATAAAATTACAAGGCATACTAAAAGGCAAAAGTCAGTTTAAAGAGAAAGAGTAAGAACTAGAATGAGGTATGACAGGAATGCTGAAATTATCAGACTCGGAATTTAAAATAAGTATGATTAATATGCTAAGGATGGGTCGGGCTCAGTGGCTCAGCCTGTAATCCCAGCACTTTGGGAGGCCGAGGTGAGTAGATTGCCTGAGCCTGTGGGTTTGAGACCCATCTGGGCAATGTGGCGAGACCTTGTCTCTACAATAAATAAAAAATTAGCCGGGCATGGTAGCCTGTAGTTCTGGCTACTTGGAAGGCTGAGGCAGAAGGATCACCAGAGCCCAGCAGGTCGAGGCTGCGGTGGCCGGGAGCATGCCACTGCACTCCAATCTGGGAAACAGAGTGAGACTCCGACTAAAAAAAAAACC